AGATTTTCAATGAATTCTATCTTCAACTTTTCTCTCTTCAGATTTTAGGAGTCTTTTCTTTTGAGTCGGTGCTGTATATCATCATGGCCGGCATTTTCCCCTTTTCTCCTCCCCATACCTCACATGAAAGATGATCTGGACTTTAAGGGGTGTCCTCTTCTTGTCATCATTGCCTTAATATGCTCCTACTCCTACTCCCCTTCACCACCAGCACCATTACCACTACCGTCACCACCATCACCACTACTGCTTTTTGCTGCTGCTGCTGCTGCTGCTGCTATATCACTACTGTGTAGAATCTGTTGTTGAGGCTAGACCTCTTAACTGCCAGGCCAAGATTTTCTCCATTAGACTCACCATGCTGTTTCTCTGCCAGGATGCTATTTCATGGCCAAGGAAAAATGAACCATTGGCTTGACAGACAGAGAGGTAGCTGATGGCTATGCAGCTAATTCCAGTAGAGAGGCCAGAAATGGATGTCTGAACTACTTCGAATTCTTAGGAGGAATAATTTGATGTACATGTGTTGTTGGACAGCCATTTTTCAGTTGTGTCTGACTTTTTGTGACCCCATTTGGGGTTTTCTTGGCAAAGATACTGGAGTGGTTTGCCATTTACTTCTCTGGCTCATTTTACAGATGAGGAAGCTAAGGCAAATAGGGTTAAGTGACTTGCCCAGAGTCACACAGCTAGTTAAGTGTCAAGTGTCTGAGGCTGGATTTGAACTCAGGAAGATGAATCTTTCTAACTATAGACCTCACACTCTATCCTAGCTGTACCACCTAGCTGTCCTTGATATACATATAACAAGAACATAATCTTCATGCAAAGAAACCTGGACTTGGCATCACGAGATCTTGGTTCATAGACCAAGTAGATGCATGACCATAGGCAAGTCACTGTGAACGTCTCAAAATCTCAGCTTCCTCTTCTTTAAAAAAGAAAAATAATATCCTTCTTACCTCATCTACAGTTATTTTGAGGACAGCCCTTATAAACCATAAAGTGCTATGTAAATGCCAGTGACTATTCTATATACATTGATGGTATTTTATTATTGATAGCATGATTTTGTTTACTGTGGTCAGGATATAGGACATCCTTTCTTGGCAAGAAGGTGGCATGAAAAGACTAAAATTACCTCTCATGAGGCCCTGGCTTTGTATGTAAGGCTTGGAAATGGTGTCAAATATTGCCAAATGAAGTGACATGAATGATGTACTTGATACTTTTCAAAGTGTTTTTCATAGACATGATACCATTTTACCCGTGCAATAATCTGGTGAGACTGGAGACTATTCCAATCCTTTAAAAATTAGTAATTTTTTTTTATCAGTGTGGGCATTTCTTCTATTGATAAAAATTGTAATTCCTCCATTCCTTCATAGATAGTATCATAAATTTCTATAGTCAAAAGAAATCCATCATCTAGTGGCTAAACCTTTGACTGATGACACATTGAATCTACAGTTCATCACCAGTCCCTTACTGCAAGCCTTAGAGGCTTGGCACAGCCTACAAGACCAATATTCATTGGGCATAACTTTTGAAATCCCAGGGTCTTCTCCATGCTGTGATGGGGCATTGGAGTAGGACTTATATGGAGGGAGATGATATTATTAGTTTCATTTTAAGATGGCAAAGGAGGCACAATGAAGCTGTAAGTTACCTAAGGTTATACAATGAGTAAATGATAAAGTCACATTTAGAACACAGGACTCCTGACATCTAGTTAACTGATTTTTTTTGCCCCATCATGAATCATGGTCCCATGTCCTTTTAATCCATGCAAAAAACTCTGAAAAATATAATTAAATACATACCCACTTAACTAGTAGGTGCAGATAGCCTGAATGAAGGGCATGACAGAGATGCCAACATAGTCTTATCAAATAAGTCAAGTAACAGACCGGACACTGACAGCCAGCAAAATCTGATATCCATGATATTAAGTAGTTAGAAATATATGCCCCCTCAGCTTATTCATTTGTGAAATGAAAATAATAATGCTAATGAAACTCTCAGGATTGTTTTCAAAGAGTAATTAAATAAATGATCATTAAGCCAAATAAAAATGCAGTCACTACTAAGTAATTAATTTTAAATGATAAGAATTTATTATGCTTACACAACAATAGATTATGTTAACATTGACCTGATCAGGCAAATAGGAAGTTACTTGTTTTCCTCAAACACAGCAAAGTTCCAGAATGGTAGGGGTAGAAGAGAAATGACATTTTCATGTTTCTAAGAGGACAATTCAAGAAGAGTAAAAGGAACAGTTATGCTTTTTAAAAAGCTTTAGTGAAACCTCTTAGATGGATGTAGAGAGAGCTTTGTTGGGTCATCTAAAATTACTTATTTATTATCTTGAATTTAATGAATACCAGAAAAGAGAATATTTCCATGTACAAAGTCGAACAGAAGATGATTATATGTGAAAACATAAATATTACATACAAATTCCTCTTCTTTTATTTAAAAAATAATACATTCAACAAGTTGCTTTCAAAACTGTCCTGCTTGTGTGGGATTTCTTCTGATCTTCCTTCAGTTCTCTTCTATGTATTAAAAAAATGCTTCAATGACCCTTTTTTTCTCGTTTGGGCAGTCCTATCAATAGATACTCTTCCACAAGGCTCCTCTTCCTCCTTGCCATAAGTGAACAACCCTGAAAGACTTAAGATTTTAGAGGACTAATGATGAAGAATGCTACCCATCTCCTGACAGAGAGGTGATGAACTCAGGATGAAGAATAAGACATATACTTACATGGCCGATGCCAGAATTAGTTTTGCTTGACTACGCATATTTGTTACAAGGATTTTGCTTTTTTGGGGGTGTGGGGTTGCTGCTGTGGTATTAAGAGAAAAAAAATGATAATTAGTAGAAAAAAACTAATGAAAAATAAACTTAGTCAAGTAAAACAAAACCTTCACATTTACCATAATAAGTGTGTACTTGTTGCTCATATAGATATATGAATGTCTATGTGGATCTGTCTAAATATTGCTTGCAGGGAGGTATGAATAGACGTTTCTGAAATCTTATCCGCCCCTCTCCAAGGGAGACTTTAATTTGGCCAGGAGGGGAATAACAGATCAAGTCATGGGGCTGGACCACTTTGTTCTTCTCACAGAGAGGATACCAGACTAGAATTTTATCTCTGTGCATTGCCCATACTTGTTTCCTGCCCCCTCTCCCCCAAGCTAAATATTTGTAGGCTAAGGGAAATAATTTTTTTTAAGTTTAAGATACTCACTAGATTGCTCTCTCTTAATGGGGAAGGAGTGTGTGTCCCAAGCTATATCTGAAGGCTTGACTCCTTTCTCACCAGATACTAGTTATACAAAGACTATCGAAAATAGTGAATCACAAAGAAACACATTTATCTAAGCCAGTTTCAAACAGAAACCAGACAAATTGTATAGATTAGAACATATCAGACAATGCACCGAGTGAATGGCTTTTCCCATTCATCCTATGATATCACAGATCAACTAAGAGAGTGCCTGATCCCACCCAAGAGGAAAGACCCAGAAGTCTCTAGTGTGGAGTTAACTGGAACTAGGGATATGTTAACTGCTTTACATGTGAGCTTTTTCCCAGAGTCTTCCTTTCCTTCCTGAGGCCTCCCTCTGAAGAGAGTCTGGAGCTATGTATGTCCCCTCTTAAAGCCAAAAGCCAGAAAAAGGGTTTCTCTTTTCCCAAGCTCTCACCAACTCTGCCCAGATGCAGGTATGGAACATTGAGTCATTGTTTTTTCCACCAATGAGGAGAGTCTTATACAAATGCTTAGGTTTGAACTCTGAGTTACAACATATCAAAAATGTATGTCTAGTGATGCACCCCAAGTCTATCACTCCTCTGTCAGGAGGTGAGTAGCATGCTTTCTCATTGGTTCATTGGAGTTGTAACATTGCATTGATCAAATCTGGTCTTTCCATGTTGTTTTTCTTCATAGTGTTATTGTTAATGAATAAACCATTCTACTAATTCTGTTTATTTCACTCTGTATCAATTCATACAAATCTTGCCAAGTTTGTCTGCAACTCTCTTTCATCATTTCTTATGGCATATTATTCTGTTACATCTATATACCATAATTAGTTTAGCCATTTCTCAAGTGATGGGCATCCCCTTTGTTTCCAGTTCTTTGCTAAACAAAAAGTGTTGTTATATAATAACAGCTAGATCCTGGTTTGTGCAAATAATGAATTCCATAAAGTAATCATATGTATTCAAATGTACAGTATTCAAAGTCATGATTATGTAAACCATGGCATTTACTTCCAGCTCAACAGAAATATGCAATGTGAATTCTCATAACATGATTACTTCAGGGGGATTCTTTATATATACTAATTGAGACACAGCTGTATTTCCGTACATATGGGTCTTTTCCCTCTTTCTTTGATCTCTTTGGTATCTAGAAGTGGAAATAGTTGGTTCAAAGTGTGTACACAGTTGAGTTCCAAGTTGCTTTTCAGGAGGAATGAACCAATTAGTTATACCAATGGTTCTCCATTGCCTGTCTTTCTTCAGCCCCTCCAACAATAGTTATTTTTCTTTTTTTGTCATCTTTGCCAATCTGACAGGCATGAGGTAGAATCTCAGAATTGTTTTAAAGTTAATTTTCCTAATTATCAGTGATTTCAATCTTTTAAAATATAGCTATTGATTACTTGGATTTCTTTAACGCCAGTTTTTTTTAAAGGAATCCCTTCTTGAGAAAAAGCTAAAGTTTGATGGTTTTAGAATGTTTAAGTTAAAGGAGGTTGGTGGTGGTGAGAAAATACGCATATAGCCAAGTTGCCAAATCCATGGGCAGCACTTCTGTCTTCCAGGCATCGCTAACATTGCTTTCATTTAAACTCTCTCTGTCATAATAATAATTATAAAAAATCTGATTGGTTGAATTCTTTTCCCCTTCTTCTTTTTTCCCTCTTTTCTTGGCTATTCCCTCTTCAAACCTTCCCACTCTCTTTCTGTAATTTCAGAGGGTTCTGGAAAATGATGAAAACATAGAAGAAGTGAATGAAGAGGAGGATTTAGAAGAAGATACTCCAAAACGAAAGAACAGGACCAGAGGACGGGTAAGTCAGGGGCTTTACACAGAAGGAAAGGCAATTACAGAAAATACTCCGTAAGATCATGAAGTTAGAGCTCGAAAGGACTTCAGGGCCACCTCGTCCACCCTCCTCATTTTATATCTGAGGAAACAGAATGCAAGAGGAGGTCACACAGATAGTAAGCATCAGAGGCAGCCTTAGAACCCAGCTCTTTTGACTCCAGAGCCAGTGCTTTTTCTACTTCCTCAGCAAGGACATCGCTCCTCATTCCAGGGAGGAGAGCCTCAACTTTTGTCATGAGCACTGCTCATGACAGGGAGGATAACTTGAAAAACATTTAGCAAGGGGTGCTATAAAGAGGAGAATAAGATCTGAATGGTAGTCAAATGAGTGGGTGGAGACAGGGAGAGGAGGTTTTCTGTTCTCCGTTTTGGTATGTTTCCCATAATTGGAACAATATTCCATGGAAAGGCTATAAGTGAACATTATTTTGACCCTGAGTCCTTCAGGCATGCCCAGGGCAATTTGTCAGCTCATTTGTGAGGGTATGAAAGTCCCAGTGCTTTAAAGGGTTGGTTTACTGAGATTCAATGTGATTTAATGGAAAAAATATTGGACTTGGATAGAGGAGACCTGGGGTTGAATACACGCACTAACATTTACTAGTTGTATGACTGTGGGAAGGAAGTAAGTGAAGAAGGAAGGGAGGATGAAAGAAGGAAGGAGAAAGGAAGGAAGGAAAGAGTGAGGGAAGGAAGGAAGGAGGGAGAAAAAGAGGGAAGAAAGAGGAAGGGAGGAAGGAAAGGAAGAAAATAAGTATTTGTTAAGTCCCTATTGTATACCAGGTAATGTGGTAAGTGCTTTACAGATATTATCTCATTTGATTTTCACAATAATTCTGGTAGGTAGGTGCCATCATTATTCTCATTTTACAGTTGAGGAAACTGAGGCAAACAGAGGTTAAATGATAGATCACACAGTTAGAGAGTCTTCCTGACTCCAGGACAAATGTTCTCTCCACTGTATTACTTAGCTACCTTGTGGGCAAGTCATTTAAACTCTCTGAGCTTTCTTTATCTATAAAGTGGAGATATTAGTATTTTCCCAAGAGTTGCATGGGGGAATTAATAGAGTGGGAGTCAGGAAGAGTTGTGTCACATTTGAAAATTAAGGTAAACTGAGAGACAAGCTTCCAAGCATCAATTTATTAATTAGACTAGTAATAACCAATAAATTGGGTTAATGGTCCCTCTCAATGACCAAAAGACCACAACTAGTCTTTGTATAGTTTTGGGAAGTACAAAAGAACAAAGAACAGAGTTGAGTAGGTAGGGAAGACAATGCAATTGGTTACATGGTAGACAGTATCATGGTGGTGGGGACAACATGATTGGTTATATCAAGGAAAGTGGGCTGGCACCCATATGGGGCTAGTAACCATCCCTCTCTGAAAATTAAGGAATCTTAATTGTTTTATGGGACCCATCTGCAACTTATAATCTTTGCTAGGGGATCAAAAATTATTAGACTTGCTGTCTCTTTGGAAGTCATAAAACTCTCCTAATTGCACAAAGACAGGCAAGTTCAGATGATATATTTTGGGGAGGATAGTACCAAGTTAACTTGTGGGGCTCAAAGATAACAAACATATGTCCTAAAATTTTCCCAGAAGCTGAAGGTATGGTAGATAACAGTTTTCCCCATTGATTATAGCTTTAAACTAACTTAGAAAGCTAAATTCCTGAGCTCAACTCAAGGCCATAGGAAGAGGACTTAAGTAGATAAAGAATCAATTACAGTGCCAAATAAATACAGTATAGAACCAATTACAAAATAGAATTAATTTGAATTCCTCATCTGGGTTCAAATGCTACCTCTGATTTTTTTTAATTTGCTTTGTGACTCTGGGAAAGTCATTTCACCTCCTATGTGCCTCAGACAATACCTTGCTCCACAAATGCAAAGTGTTATTATTATGTCCTGTGACTAGGGAACTTGGGAATTTGGGGTCAGAGAACCCCACACACTTCAGATGTGTTGCCTGAGGCCTGGCATATGGAGGCATATTCAACTGGAATACCACTTGTTTACCATTTGGGTGACTAGCTGGGATACTTGTTCATGATACGGAGATACTCAGAGGTTTGGAATGGGAAGCAGCTAACCTGTGTCACTTTAGTTTTGTTAATATTATTTGACTTTCTTGCCCTTAGTCATAGGCTCATTGAGGTGGAAGGATCTTTTGGGAGATCATGTGGTCCAGCCTCTTTTCCTGGCTCTAGTTCTCTATAATTGGTTGACCTTCTTCATCTCATTGTGTTCTGATAATATATAAAGCATTTAAAAAAACATTGAAAGTATTCTTTAAAAAATTCAATTTGTGTTTATTAAGTGCCTACTGTTTTCCAGGTTCCATGCTAGGTACTGAGAATACAAAGCTAGAATAGTCTCTGCCCTCAAAAGGCTTATATTTTGCTGTAGGAAAACAGTATGTACATAGATAATTAAATATTTAAGATGCAAAGTTATTTCAGGGGAATGGGGTGCGAGTTGAAAGGACTAACAATTGGAGAGTGGGATTAGAAAAGGCCTTATGTAGGAGGTGGCACTTGAACTAAGCCTTAAATAGCACACTAGAAATTTCTTTTTTTTTAAATTTCAATTTATTTATTTTTATTACATTTTAAGTTCCAATTTATCTCCCTCCTTCCCCACCTCAAACTAGACAAAATCACCATTTGACACAGATTTACAAATATATGTAAAACCATACTATATGTACTTCTATTTATCAGTTCTTTCTTTGGAGGTGGATAGCATCTTCCTTCATAGGTCTTTCATAGTTGATTTGAGTATTTATAGTACTCAGAATAACTTGGTTGTTCATAATTATTCTTCAAACGATATTGTTATTACTGTAAACAATGTTCTTTTGGTTCTGCTCACTTCACTTTTCATTATTTCGTGCAAGTCTTTCCATTTTTCAATAATCAACCAGTTCATCATTTCTTAGAGCCCACTAGTATTTCATCACAAGGCACCAGAGACTTCAAGCAGTTACATGAGGAAGGAGAGTCTTTTGGGGCAGGGGCTAGGGGGAGGACACGCTGGACAAAGAGATGTGGAGGAACTTGCCATTCCTATTGGATAGAATCTGGGGAAACTATGAGTCAAGGACTAGAAAGAGAAATGTTTGATAGGCATTGAGGATTGGAATGAGAGGCTTGTGTTGGGAGATAGGTTGTAAAGGCAGGTAAGGTCACTATAAGGAGGACCTTCTTTCTAAGTAAAGATATTTTGATTCAATGTAGTAGGAAATGAGGAGCCATTGAAAGTACTTGAGAAGGGACTTTCTTGTTTGTAAAATGAGTGGGATGGACTAGACTAGGGCCCACTCATGACCTGACCCCTTTTTGGGTTTCAGCAGTGTTTGTTGGCATTGCATGAGCTGAGGGCATACACAGTCAAAGTGTGGATGCTTTGTGTTCATAACCAAGGCTGCAGTGAAGTTGTGCTATGTAACACGGGCAAGTGCTGCCAGAAACATCTCATGTTCATTATGCATTTGATTTTTATTTATTATTTGGTTGTTGCACATTCAGAAACCTTATACTATTGCCGCATTTTTCACACCCCCTCCTCCCCAGTTTAAGAAGGACTGGACTAGATCATCTCTAAAGTTCCTTCCAGTTCTTATGATCTTGTGAGTGACACAGTAAAAGTGGTTTCAAAGAAAAATTAGTTTGAAAGCAGTGTACAAGATGGATTGGGTAGGGGGAAGAGGTTAAAGAGAAGAAAGTTAGGTAGGAGACTAGTGCAGGAGTGAGATGATGATGATGATAAAGCATTTATCAAGAGTTTACTGTGTGTAAGGTACTATGTTAAGTGCTAAGAATTCAGATATAGTTATCCTTTCCACATCATGACTTTTCCCATGGTGGTTTCGATACATTGCGGGTCGGCATAAGAAATTAAATAGGAATCTTTAGGGAGTTTGCAGAAGCTGCAGATGATACTTGAAGGCTAGTGGGTGACGCAGAAAAAGTTTAGAAACTTAGAAATGCGTAAAATATATGTATAGTATTATATAATATCAATGTGTTTTATCATTTAATACTATAACAATACTCAAATTTTATGATAAGGTACTGTAAATACCCCATAAAAGAAAAAGAAAAAATTCAGACTTCTTCTCTGGTATGAAGGCAGGGAAAAAATTTTATGCAGATTTTCCAGATTGTGGGGGCACCATGTCCCTATCCCCTTACAATGTGGAAGGGATAATTGTACAAAAAAAAGACAGCCCCTTCCCTTAGAGACATTATGTTCTAGTGGGAAAGACAACATGGAAAAGGCAAAGGATGGTACCATGGCATGATTGGGAAATGGCTAGGAAGTGATATAGATTGGTTGTGGAACAGATAAGGTGAAAACTCATCTATTCAGAGTCCAAGGTTCCAGTGGGAGGGGAATGAGAGTGATGAGGACAATGCTGAGGAAATAGATTTGGGTGGTGGCAATGGGAACAGACAGAAAGAGACTTACTGACTTATTCCAGTTCACATTGAGCTGTCCCACATCTTAATTCTTGTATGATGTAAAAAGGACCCAATCAATTCTTGATTATCTATTCTTTTGAAAATAATATGCTATCTTCGAAGGCTAAAGTGTATGTGTACATGTATGTATGTACATGTGTATGTGTGTACATGTACATATGTATGTATCTGTGTATGTACATGTGCTTGCGAACTTTTGCTGGTCCTACCCAGCTAGAAAGTCTGGATATGGGTCAGTGACAGACTGTATGTATGCCTATTATCTTAATACCTGTCAAGGTCAGAGAGGTTCATCACCAAGCCATCCATAGGATGATGACATTTTAGGCCACAGCAACTCTCAAGGATAATATCTAGGAATATAATAGCTTATGGTCACTCCATTCACCCCCAAGCCCAGGTCCAAATGAATACTGCTAGTGTGAGAAAATATATTATAATTATGATTATTTGGCATTAAAACTG